GGACGGGGGCTGGGGATGGATGGTAGTGCTGTCAGCGTTCTTCCAGTCGGCATTGGTGTTCGGAGTGCTCCGCTCCTTTGGCGTCTTTTTCGTGGAGTTTGTGGCGGCGTTTGAGGAGCAGGCAGCGCGCGTCTCCTGGATCGCCTCCATAGGAATCGCGATGCAGCAGTTTGGAAGTGAGTGCTGCGCCAGGATCCGGCGACCTGCGACCCTCGGAAGGTCGGGGGGCGGGGGAATACTGGGGGAGGATGCCGGAGATCTCGCAGAACGCCTTCCACTTCCCCAGGCCCGGTAGGCAGTGCCCTGAGCACGAAGTTCGGGCCCAGGCCCGTGGTGATGACCGGAGGCATCTTGGCTGCGCTGGGGATGCTGCTCGCCTCCTTTGCTACCTCCCTGACCCACCTATACCTCAGTATTGGACTGCTTTCAGGTGAGACCTTAGACAAAGGCAGGAGAGTCAAATGCTTAGATTGTTGGCTCTAGACCTTCTTCCTACTCCTTCCAAAAGGCTTGGGGAAGTGCTGAGGGAAAGTTTGGTTAACACCCTTGCCCAGAAGGAACTTCTTAATAGGGAGTAAGACGATTAATATGGCGAGTAATTAGAAAATTCAAAGATGTTGAAACCAGGTATACAAGCCCAGGGCTAGTGGGACTTTAGTGTAAAAAGAACTACTACCTACTGTGTCAGTGAAATATATATATCATTATCCTATTCACAGCGAAGAAATCCACCACTCCCTCCTCCCCCCATTCAGGGTCTCTGTTGCTCAGGCTGGAGTGCAGTAGCATGATCATGGCTCACCGCAGCCTTGAACTCCTGGGCTCAGGAGATCCTTCCACCTCCACCTGGCTTTTTTTTTTTTTTTTTTTTTTTTTGTTGAGTTGGAGTCTCACTGTCACCCAGACTGGAGTGCAGTGGCTGCTCCCGGCCACCACAGCTTTGACCTGCTGGGCTCCGGCGATCCTTCCGCCTCAGCCTTCCAAGTAATTGGAACTGCAGGTGCGCACTACCACACCCGGCTAATTTTTGATTTATTGTAGAGATGAGGTCTTGCCAAGTTGCCCAGGCGAGTCTCGAGCCCGCAGGCTCAGGCAATCCACTCACCTCAGCCTCCCAAAGGCGCAGGATTACAGGCTGAGCCACCAAGCCCGGCTTGGCTAAATTTTTATAGAGATGGGGTTTTGCTATGTTGCCCAGGCTAGTCTTAAACTTCTGGCCTCAAGCAATTTCTCCTGCCTTGGCTTTCCAAAGTGCTAGGATTATAGGTGTGAGTCACTGCACTGTCCAGAAAGTCTTTAAAAGCTTATGTAACTTGGCAAATGAAGGTCTCATCACTAGAAATGGTAGAGCCCAGGTTTAACTCCAAAGTTCTGTGCTAGTTACTTCTCTAACGTTGTCTCTAATCCTACACAGTCTGAAAAAGTGTATTACCCCAATTTTGCAGATGATGAGATTGAGGCTGAGAGAGTAAGTAAAACACACAAGATCACACAGCTAGATAGAAAGTGTTAGAGCCACGATTATAACGCAGGTCTGTGGGCCCACAAAGAAGTGCTACATTCTACTGCTGGGCAGTGAGGGGATTACTGAGTCCTCAACCCCATTTCTTCCTTTTGACAGGCTCTGGCTGGGCATTGACCTTCGCTCCGACCCTGGCCTGCCTGTCCTGTTACTTCTCTCGTCGTCGATCCCTAGCTACTGGACTAGCACTGACAGGCGTCGGCCTCTCCTCCTTCGCATTTGCCCCCCTTTTCCAATGGCTGCTCAGCCAGTATGCCTGGCGGGGGGCTCTGCTGCTGGTGTCTGCCCTCTCCCTTCACCTCGTGGCCTGTGGTGCTCTCCTCCGCCCACTGTCTCTGGCTGAGGACCTTGCTATGGGAGGCCCAGGGGCCCAACTCACCTCCCTCCTCCATCATGGCCCCTTCTTTCGGTACACCATTGCCCTCACACTGGTCAACACTGGCTACTTCATTCCCTATGTCCACCTGGTGGCCCATCTCCAGGACCTGGATTGGGACCCCCTACCTGCTGCCTTCTTACTTTCAGTGGCTGCTATTTCTGACCTTGTGGGGCGTGTGGCCTCTGGGTGGCTGGGAGATGCAGTCCCAGGGCCTGTGGCACGACTCCTGATGCTCTGGACCACCTTGACTGGAGTGTCACTAGCCTTGTTCCCTGTAGCTCGGGCTCCCACAGCCCTGGTGGCTCTGGCTGTGGCTTATGGCTTTACATCAGGGGCCCTGACCCCAGTGGCCTTCTCTGTGCTGCCTGAACTAGTAGGGACTGGAAGAATTTACTGTGGCCTAGGACTGTTGCAGATGGTAGAGAGCATCGGGGGTCTACTGGGGGCTCCTCTGTCAGGTAAGGGGTCTGGGATTTCCAAGTGGCCCAGGGCTGCCATGTTCCATTGTTGGGGAAGGGAGATATTCCCATTATAGTATATGTGAATATTGCCCTCGGGTATGGTACATACACAGCCCACATGGCCAATCATAGCATCCCAGAAATGGGCCCATAGGGCAAAAGAACTTGGAGTTGGGAAGGGCTGCATGGAAAGACAAAGAGGGGCTCAGTGGAACCCTTGGAAGGGGGCCTACCACTTGTGTTTTCAGAGGACCTGGCTGAACCCGGGCAGACATAGCATTCCAGTGTCTTCCCTTTGGCCTCAGCCGAAGGTGTCTGAGGCATCTGGTCAAAGTTCTGCAGGCTCAAGGTCAGAACCTTCAGTCCTTTAACATTTTTCCTCTTATCCATTAACTGAAGGTGTAGAAGGGTCACGGTTGCCAGAAGGAAAGGCACAGGTATGCCGGGCTCAATCCAGATCTACAAGTTCCCATAGGCTGGTTTGGAGACCCTTTCTGAAGGATAGAATGGGAACACCAGGGCCCAGCCAGAGCCTGCGAATGAAAGGGCAGGATGAGGGCAGGAACCAGGGATGCCTGTCCCAGCATTCCTAGCCCTGTTCTCAGCCTCCTTCACTCCCCCAGCCCCCAACAAGCTCCTCTCCTCACCTTCAAATTATCCAACCCTGCCTTGGGAATTCCAACTCCTCCAAAGTGATGCGTCTTCCCTCCACCTAAAAATGTCTGTGCTGTCAGCCCCAGCAAACATCATGTAAATGCTTTTTCTCTCTTGGACCTAGGCTACCTCCGAGATGTCACAGGCAACTACACGGCTTCTTTTGTGGTGGCTGGGGCATTCCTTCTTGCAGGAAGTGGAGTTCTCATCACGCTGCCTCACTTCTGCTTCCTAGCTACTACCTCCAGGCCCCAGGACCCTGTAACAGAGGCATTGGATACCAGAGTCCCCCTGCCCAAGGAGGGACTGGAAGAGAACTGAACTCCACAAAGAGGCAGTCAAGCCCAGAAAGCCAGCACCAGGCCCCATCTTTGTATCCACAGAATTGCAGTGCCTTAAAATTCTTGGTCTGCCTCCCCTCAGAACAGGCCTGGAGCTCCTGCAATGTGTGTGCTAACCCTTCATATTTTGTTTTTTATTACTCTTCCTTTGCTCCTCCAATTTTTCTGAAGGATCCAGGAGTCCCTGCTCCACTGAGCTGTGAATCAACTGTGAAAATCAAAGGTTTATCATGTTTTATATATCTCTAGAGTTGCCTCCAAAGTTTCTTCCCCGAAGACAGATTTTTGGGAAACAACTGGTGTCCCTTTGAGATAAAACTGAATAAGAAAACTGGATAACAATCATAATCTCAAAAAGAGCTGGGACCCATACATATGCTTGAGTTAGCTGGATGGAGTCATGACTGAGAGTGGAAGGGAGGTGTCCAGAATCTTTGGTGACCCAGAGCATTTTAACCCCGGACTCTGTTCTCTGGGCCATGGTTCCTCCTGCCTACCACCACTTACCTCCCTCTTCCTCCTTATCCCTGTTACTTAGGGAAGAAATTGAAAGAATAGTGAGGACACAGGGTATGTGTGTTGGCATAGCTTGGCGGGGGAGATAGCTGATAGAGCTGAACTCTGGGCCTCTGGGCTTAGGATTCTTGTATTTCTCCCAGTCCCATAGGAGATTGAAATGCATGAAAGAGTTCATCTGGGAGGTCTGGGTACCAGGGTAAGGGAAATGAGATGGAACAGTAGCACCCATGAGCATCCTTCCCTACCTCCTCCACCAAACTGAAACTGACTGACTGACAACTTTTCAAAGATTCCCTGTTATAGCAAGGTCTTGGGCAAAGATAAATGAATTGGCTAGACAGACACTCTCCCCCACATGCAGGGCCTGCTGGGATTCTTTTCTTTTCTTTTTCTTTTTTTTTTTTTGAGTTGGAGTCTCACTCTGTCACCCAGACTGGAGTGCAGTGGCCGCTCCCAGCCACCGCAGCCTCGACCTGCTGGGCTCCAGCGATCCTTCCGCCTCAGCCTTCCAAGTAGCTGGAACTACAGGCGCACACTACCACACCTGGCTAATTTTTTTATTTATTGTAGAGATGAGGTCTTGCCCAGTTGCCCAGGTGGGTCTCGAACCTGCGGGCTCAGGCAATCCACTCACCTCAGCCTCCCAAAGCGTGGGATTACAGGCTGAGCCACCAAGCCCGGCTGATTATTTTCTTTTCAACCAGCTTTTTTGGATATCTTATGTAGAAAATTTTCAGGGTCCTAGATTGACTGACAGTTGGAATTTTCAGGAAAACCAGATAAAAATTCTTTATTGGAGGAGGGTCTCAAACAAGAAAATTATCAACATGCCGTGTCCAGAGTGGAGTGAGGGCCCTCTGGGGAGAGCAGGGCAGCCTGGGGAACCGGAAGCAGCTCCCCCCTCTCAGGGGGAGGAGTGGCAGGAGGTAAAGCTGGACGACAGGTGGGTAGCGCCCTGGGCAGCCCCATGTAGATAAAGCTGCCGGAAAGGATGAAAGAGCTGCATACGAGGAAGGAGGCGGTGAAGTCTCCAGTCTCATCCCTTAGGAATCCTGAGACGAGGGGTAAAGGAATTTAGAGGCCTCAGAACCCACGGGCAGAGGGTAGTTGTAAGCAGATCTGCTCCCTCGGCTGTGGCCTTTACCTGAGAGAGGAGGGCCCAGGAGCCCTCCGAGGCTCATCAGCATCATCACCAGACCCGTGGCCTGCACCACGCCTCCGATGCCCACCAGCCCCGGGAGCACACCGAAAACCAGCGGGGCGTAACTCCCAGCGCTCAGCCCGTAGGCTACAGCCGCGGCCAGCAGGGGGGCCCCCCAGCCCTCTTCGCTCCCTGTCACGGGCACCAATCCCACCGCCAGCAGCCCCAGCCCTGTCAGAGCCCCGAACACGGCCAACAGCCGCGGGAGGGGCACCCAGCCCTGGTCCGCCAGCCACCCGCAGACCAGCCGGGCGCCCGCGTCCCCCACCGCAGCCACGGCCACCACCAGCGCTGCCCCGTATCCTCCCAGGCCCCGGTCTAAAGCGTGGGGGGCCAAGTGCACGTAGGGGACAAAGTACCCGCCCCCAATCAGGGCCGTGCCCAGAGCAAAGACTGAGAAGGCCCGGCGTGTGAAGAGTCCCAGGCCGAGGGCAGCTAGGGGGCCGCGGGGTGGGACCGAAGGGTCGCCTGGGAGGGCCAGGGGTCGCAGCAGGGCGCCACAGGCGGTAAGGTGGAGGGTGATAGCGCCAAGGAGGAGCAGGGCACCCCGCCAGCCGAAAGTATCAAGGAGGAGCTGCAAGCCTGGAGCTAAGAGCAGCGAGGAGGCCCCGTTGCCGGTGAGTGCCAGCCCCACCGCCAAGACTCGACGGCGGGAGAAGTAACGCGAGAGGGTACCGAGGGCAGGGGCGAACACCAGGGCCCAGCCGGAGCCTGCGAAGGAACAGGGCGGGATGAGGGCAGGGACCAGGGATGCCTGCCCCGGCACCCCCAGCCCTGTTCTCCGCCTCCTTCGCTCCCCGAGCCCCCAACAAGCTCCTATCCCCACCTTCACCCCTGAGGGACCTGGGCAGCCCACTCCCCTCACCAGCGAGGAGGCCCAGGCCGATGTAGAGGTGCAGCAGACTGCGGGCGAAAGCCGAGAAGACGAAGCCCAGCGAGGTAAGTACGCCCCCAACCATCACCACCGGGCGCGCCCCCCAGCGTGTGCTCAGGGCGCTGCCCACTGGGCCTAGAAGGGGGCAGAGTCAGCGGAAGACAAGCCTCTGGACCCCGAACTCTTTCCAACACTTCTCACTGGGTGCACCTGGCCTAAAACTCCTTCTCCGGGCTAATACTTCTTCCCTTGACCTCAAGATTCACTCTTTTCTGGGGCTTGGTTCCGCCGGCCACCCTTGGCCAGGTAATCAGGTGGGTCTGGTAATCAGGTGGGTCTCCCACCACTACACTCAAGGCCCCTCCAGCCCGTTCCCTCCTCCCGCCTCGGGTCCCCCCTCACTGGCTGCCTGCTGCACGGCCAGGGCCAGGGCGCTGACCCACGCAGTGTCCTGGGCGCTGCGGTCAAAGTGCTCCGCAAGGTCAGGGAGGGCAAGGCCCAAGGAGCGCAACAGCCCGTAGGAGAGCCCGTTCACCGCGAAGGCTGCGGCCGCCACCACCCAGCCCCAGCCCCCGTCGGGGGGGCCGGCAGGCTTGGGGGTCATCGCCGTCTGCGGAGGTGAGGAGACGCTCGTGAGCGAAGTCTTCACGTCTGTGACTCCGCTAGGGAGCTGGCAACCCTGAGATGCCGACTCTGGCTGCTTGCCCAGGGAGGGCACGTCTCCCGAGCACGATAGTGCGGGGGCGGAGGGAGTGGGAACCAGGACTAGGGATGGAACGCCTGGGTCTGCGCGAGGTACCGGGACTGGGGACAGCCAGATCCCCCAGGCTGGGGGACTCTCCCTCCCACACACACTCCTTCCCCCTTACCCGACCTCTCCGGGCGGTGGGGGAGGGAAAGGGCGAGAAAAGACTCTGCCGGGTTTGCTCCCTGCTTCACAGGCGGGCGGGGCCCGAAGGGGAGCGAGTGCAGAGATGGAGCCCTACTTGGACTGGCTCTCTCGGTAAACAGAGATCACCGCAAGGGCCCGAGCCACCTGGGACGCGGGGCTACGGAGGGCGGGGGCGAGCTGAGGCAGTCATCCGATCCGCCGAGCCGAGGGTGAGGCCAGATGCCAGTCCCACGGGGATTAAATTTGTTATGTATACATACACACACACACACAACCCCCAGCCCCTGGTACGGGAGCGACGAGGAATGAGTGCCGCCCGGCGCCACCCGGCGCACATCCACGCACCTGCCGCCTGCTGCGCACGGAGGAGAAGCGTGGATTGCAGTCCCCAGCCAGCCCAGGGCTGCTGCCATCGCGTGGAAATAGGGGCGGTCCCCAAAACCTGAGCGGATGACTAGTTTTGTTTCAGGAGCGTTGCGGAGGTAAAGCTCGGATCAAATCACAGACCTGCACTGACAGCCTGCTCAATGCTCAACAATAACATGCCCTCAGGGATGGAAGGAAGGAACAGGACTTCCTTGATATGAGGACCTGTGATGTGCCAGGCAGCCTTCACACGTGTTATCGTTTCATCCTTACAATAACCCTATGAACAAGGTGTCATCTCCATTTTACAGATACAGTAACTGAAACTCGGGGGAGGGGGGGAATGGTGGAAATATTTGAATTTAGGCCTGTCCAACCGCAGGACTGTACAGGGAGAACAATGCTAGCCTGAAACAGAATTTGCTGCAGTTGAGGAAAACTGCAAACTGCCCTGGAAAGGGCCAAAATAGGGTTCACTAGAAATCAAAAGGATCCTTGAGATCAGACTCTCTAAACATTTAGGTTAGAGTTTAAAAGCAAGGTAATAAGTCAGAGAATTGAACCCAGGTGTTGAGGTCTGGAAAAACTTTATAGAAAGTATCCTTTTTTACAGGTCAGTGTTGCTTTACCTTTGCTGTTTGAATCCAGAGATGGGTCCTTTGGTTTAATCATGAACCAACATCACAGAAAATTCAACAATTTACTATTTGGAACATGCATCTACTGATGGCCACATGATGGCAGTGTTTCCCAATTGTTGAGAAAGTATTTGCATGTAGAGAAAAGGAAAAACAGCTTTTTTTTGGAGTTGGAGTCTCCCTCTGTCACTCAGACTGGAGTGCCGTGGCCGCTCCTGGCCACCGCAGCCTCAACCTGCTGGGCTCCAGCGATCTAGCTGGAACTACAGGTGTGCACTACCATGCCCGGCTAATTTTTTGATTTACTGTAGAGATGAGGTCTCGCCAAGTTGCCCAGGCAGGTCTTGAACCCGTGGCCTCAGGCAATCCACTCACCTCAGCCTCCCAAGGCGCAGGATTACAGGCTGAGCCACCGAGCCTGGCAGAAAAACAACTTCTTAAGTAGTGAAACTGTAAACCCAAAAAACACAGCGTGACCTTCAATGGTTCTCCGTTGCCTGTAGGAGGAAAAATCAGATTTCTCTATTTTGTTTTTCTCTATCTTGTGTTTGATTTCACAATAATCAAAGGCTTACCTGGGCTGCCTTTCTACTCCACTCCCTCCTCTTGCCCACTCCCACCATCCATTACCTTCTCACCAGCTCCGTGGACATCCCTGCCTTTTTTCGCTCCTGGATATTTTATATATGTCATGCTTTCTGATTGAAATGTCCTGGATCAGGTACTGGAGTCCATGAAGGCTTAAGATCCTGACAGGTACACCTAGGAAAGTGGCCCCACCAGTTTCCCCAGCCTGGAGCGCTGTTGTGAAAGCCACCAGGGAGGTGGAGCCAGTGGGTCTTCAGCCCCCTAGGAGGGCAGGGAGTCCACTTCCCGAAAGGGCTGATGAATACTCTGCTCCAAGCTGAATGATGCCAACTGAAACTAATCATGTTCTCCTCAGTCTCCAAGGTGAAGTAGAAAGAGGCAGGGCAGTCAAAGAAAAGACTGGGCCCGCTGTATCCCCTGCAGGATACTTATGAAGGCCGAAGGACTTCCACAGCCTAGAACTGGGTGATTGGTTGGAAAAGGACACATTCCTCTTCTACTTCATGTTCCCTATTTTCTTAGCTGAAATTGCCATCTTTTATTAATGTAGGTAATATAGATAGAGTTTGGGAGAATGGGCTCCCAAGCTAAACTCTCTAGGTTTGAATTCCAGCTCTACCACTAAATGATTGTGAGCAAGTTACTCAACTTCTCTGTGCTTCAGTTTCCTCATCTCTAAAATGGAGGTAATAATAGTAGCCACTGGATGGGTTGTTAGGAGGATCAAATGAGTCACTATAGCCGTGTGTGGCAACTCACGCCTCTAATCCCAGCACTTTGGGAGGCAGAGGCGAGAGGATTGCCTGAGTCCACGGGTTCGAGACCAGCCTGGGCAACATGGTGAAACCTCGTTTCTACAATAAACAACAACAACAAAAAAAAAAAACTAGCGGGGCATGGTGGCACAGGCCTGTAGTTCCAGCTACTTGGAAGGCTAAAGTGGAAGGATCGCCTGAGCCCAGCAGGTAGAGGCTGTGGTGGCCGTGAGCATGCACTGCACTCCAGCCTGGGCGTCAGAGTAAGACTCCGACTCAAAAACAAATAAATACATAAAAATAAATGAGTCACTACGTATACATGTATAAGTAAGTGACTTAGAACAGTGCCCGAATATGATATGTGTTAGGCCCCATTACTACCATTGTTGTGACTCAAGGAATCTGGCTAGACCATACAGCACCACTTTTCCCGTGTGGCCACTTTTACTAATACTTCAAGGTCAAGGAACCAAACTGGTCTGGTAAGTTCTCAGTGGAACCACATGGGTTATAAAATGTGAATGGTTATAAAGAGATTAAATGGAAATTTTATTTTTTTTCTTGTGGTGACTGGTTTCCTTAGCATTTTCCAAATTTTATGAGAAAATTTTGGCCTACCTATCTTGACTCTAAAAACAAAAGACAAGAAAGAAGTCAGATGTTTTATTCATTTAATCCTTTATACAAAATATTTATAGGCATCTGCCATGCCAGGTGCTATGCTTTGGGCTAGGGATACAAATATGAATAAGATATAGTCTCTCCCCTCCCGGCCCCCACAGTCAAATCAGAAGAACAGTCAGATAAAGAAAAGAAATCTCAGCACAAGGAGAGGGCCACATACACCATAGAGTGGTGCATGGGAGGAACTGACTCATCCTGCTTAGGCCTGCTGGGAGGCTTCACAGAAGAGGAGCCCTTGAGCTGGGTCTTGAAGGATGAGTAGGAGTTTGCCAGATGGATGTGTGGGTAGGGGCATTCTAGGCAAAGGGAGCAGCTTATGGAAAATCACATAGGCATAAACCAGCTTGGCATATTGTTTATTGTTTGGGGAGCTATAAATAGTCTCTGTGTAGAGAACAGAGAATGTATAGGAGTATAAGGTAGGATGAAGCTTCTGGGGCAGAGGGTCCCTTCTGAAAGACCTCAAAGGCCAGGCTAAGGAATATAGATGTTTTTCCAGAGACTGATACTTCAAGATTTCCATGCAGTAGCATTCACTCATGTTGGAAGCTGAACACAGAGAAGAGAGAACTTAAGCCATGGTTCTCAAGAGGTATGGAGAGTCTGGGGTTTCTGGCTTTTCGTGTGTGGGAAATTTCTTTGAAATACCTTTTTTATGTTGAAAACTCATGTGGAATTTTGTATTCTAATTCATAACAATGTGCAATGCATGTCTTCAAAGGAAAATAATTATTTAAATGACTAGGTAAATTATTTAACTTTTTCCCCTCCAGACTTCAAGAAAAAATATAACTCTCCAGAAAGATGTCCATATTTATGCCAAAGTTTTGTTTTTCCTGGCACACTGCCATTAGGGGTGATGAGGATCCACTGATGACACAGCAAGGCCTCCTTTGGGAAGCCACCCCTGTCTACCCAGTTCCTAATCTGCCTATGTTAACCCAATCAGAGTATCTCTCAGCCTGCAGTGAAATCATTCATTTTTGTCTTCTGCTTTTCATCCCCCACGTTGCCCCTATGCCACGAGGCCTGGAGATGGGAACTTGAATCATTGATCTCTGGATTTTTCACCCCCAAAGGTGCCAAAGATGAGTGAGGTGCACCACATAATATAGGAATATCACAAGAAGAGTCACTGATGAACTAAACTAATAATGCCTGCCCATATGGAGAAAGTCCCAGAAGCAGATGCTGAGCCAAGTAGTGTCTTTTGTTTTGGTTTAGAAATGGGATCTCACCATGATGCTCAGGCTGGTCTTGAACTCCTGAATTCAAGCCATCCTCCTGCCTCAGCCTCCCAAGTACCTGCAACTACAGCTGCTACCATGCCTGGCTCAGATAGTGTATTTAGGGAGATCATAAGAGAGGGTCAAGCACTATACATAATTTGTGTTGGGACCACGGGATCTGGAAGTGTATCTATTTTTTTTTTTTTTTTTTTTTTTTTTTTTGAGTTGGAGTCTCACTCTGTCACCCAGACTGGAGTGCAGTGGCCGCTCCCGGCCACCGCAAG